CTCACTTGGTTTTTAGTGGCGGGACTCCACAGCTAGCTTATGGGAAGCTAAGGACCCAGAGCAGAGTTTGAGGATAAGTAGTACCAGAAGGCAGGACAGCCTTTGGCTGTCACTCTTGGTTCTCCTGCCCAGCCCTCTCCTGCAATCCCGATAGACATTCACAGCCCCCCTTCTACTGAGGAGGCCAGGGTTTCATCCTGTGACTCCACGAAGGGCACATTTTGGAGAGTTCCCTGAGCCGTAGGCCCTGTGGAGTCAGTAGCTCTCAGGGCAAACCAGGAACCTGGCCTCATGAGCTTGCCTTCCGGTTGAGGACACAAACACCAGTGGTGTACTTTTAAAAAGACCGTTCCAAGTTTTGAAAAGATTTGGGAAGGAAATCAACAGGATGAAACAAAGGAGAGAAGGTGGTGGAAGCCGTGAGTCTAGATTAGTGGGTCAGGGAAGGCCTGTGTGCAGAGGAGACATTTGTTTGAGGCCCGAGGGATGTGACAGAGCCATCCCGAGTTGGGCCTGGGCAAGAGCCCTCCAGGGAGACAGTGTGGCTGTTATAAACACCGGCCTGGGAGAGGATCAGATTTCCGGGGCCGGGGTGGCTGCAGCCCCGTGACTGAGGGGAGGGGACCCAGGTCCCTGGAGGCCTTGTAGGCCAGGGTGAGAGGTGTGGATTTCATCGCTCGACCTGAGTGTTCTATTAACTCCTGTCCCTCTTCCCTCAGACACGAGGCTCTAGGCGCCCAGACAGATCTGTGAGCCGGGACAGACGCGCGGAGGCCAGGGGTCACCTCACACCCGTCCTGCCGGCTGGGCCCTCGGCAAGCACCGAGGCCTACTTGGACGTGGCTGGTACGCAACCGTTGGAAGAAGGGGAGGGAAAGAATGATAGACCCAAAGACTCGGACCTTCAGTTTTGCAAGAGGCCTTTGAGAGAGGCTTCTTCCCCAGCAAGCTTGTAATACATCAGAAAGGGCTTCAAAACACATGCAGATTAACTCAAAGAAAGCAGATGGCAGCTAAGTTGAGTAGCAGACGCTAGGGGCCCTCCCCCTCTACCCTTCAAGGCCAGTTTCGGGAACCTCAGAAAGCCAGTCTTCGGTCACTCTGACGAGTCTTTGCCTCATCACCCTGCTGGCGTCAGCTGTGGCCTCTGCCTCCCGGTTGTCCGGCTGCCTGAGGAGGGGGCCGAGGCTGCGGTTCCTGCCGCTCTCTGCTCTGCCCGGGGACTTGGCCATCGGTACCCCCACCGCCCCACTGCTGCTCAGCGGACAGAGGGTACCTCTCCACAAAAGCGCGGGGGACCCAGGGCTCACCCCCCAAAGTCTGTTGAAGTCCAGGTTTGGGCTGACAAAGTGAATTCCTGTACTGGGACCACAAAATGGAGGCAGCCCTGGTGGCCCAGCCCGTGTCACAGTTCTAAGCCTAAGTCATGTGAAACACCTGTCAGGGAACCCCCCCCCCCCCCCAGCACAACCTTACCCTAGAAAACAGGACCTGCCCACCTTCTAAGGAAACCCCGACGTCCCGGCCAATCGTGCCCATTCTTTCCCATGTCGCTGCTTCTCTACACAACTGGCTCTTGCCCCAAATCCTGCCAGACTGCTCCATGCTTGGGAGGCGCTGTACTCCCCCAATCCACGGCTTGTCTTCCCTCAGATAAAGGAAGGGTAAGCTCATCAGTCAATTGTTTCCGTTTTGTCCTTTGACAGGGCTGAGAACGCTGAGGTGGCGTGACGCAGGGGCACCGAGTACAGCTCTGAAGATCTCAGTTGCTAATGAGAACATACGGCCCACGTGCCGGAAGATGACATTTGCAGACGCTTGTTAATGCTTGCGAAGTCACTTTCGGGCGCACCATTTTGAGGCCCGTGGCAGGCTAGAGTCACTGAAGTAGTTGCGGTACCCAGCTCCCGGGTAGATTCCTAGAGATGACGGGGGCGAGATTGGGCCCCAGCCCCCAGAACGGTACCCCCCCCCCCCCAGGGCTACCAGGATGGACAGCTCAAGAGTGGAGTGTCTCAGAAAAGCCACACATGCGGGGTTAATACGTGACCAAAGCATTAGAGTTCGCTGGAAGATTTTTCACGAACGGGTGCGGAAGCCGTCGATTAGCTTCCTGAAAGCAAAACTAGTTTAAGTCCTCATGTCCACCCCACACACCAAAGTGAACGTCACATGGATCCAAGAGTGAAATGCCATCAACAGAGGGGAAAAAAGATCTAAACACAAGTCCAGATTCGATTACGAATGAGAAGGAACACTTTGAGCTTAAAAGCAAATTGACATTACACACACAAAGAAGTGCAGATTTAACTATTTAAAAGAAAGGCACATTTCCGTACAACAAAAACAAACTAAAAAAAGTAAAAGCCAACGAGTGTGGAAAGCATCTGCAACAGATATGAAATGATTAATATTACCAATATATCACATATTCGTACAAACGAGTAAGAAAAACATTAACCGTCCGTCAAAACGGACAAGGAACAAAGAGATTTCAGGAAAGGACTGCCAAGTAGGTAAGTGTGGCTGTCATACTTTCTACCAAATGTGTGGGCGTTTTCCTCCACCAAGCAGTTCTCCGTGACACCAGCGGGTGTCCTACTATTTAAGCCAATTCTGACATTATCTACAGGAAGAGAGTGTCAGATCCTGGGGCTAAGGGTTCAGTCCCCAAAGCCGTCTCCCCTTCCTCCTTCCCGGCTCCTGACCAAGGCTTAGGCACCCGGGGCCCGACTGGCGAAATGAATCCCTGGGTGTTGGTGACTGAATCTCCAGCCAGTCTGCCTCCCTGGAGGTTGTGGGGGTGGGGCTAAAAGTTCCGACCCTCTAATCACAAGACCCTCTAATCACAAGGCTCTTTCTCCCACAAACAAACCCCGTCTATAGGGACTTTCCAAAAGTCAGCTCATTAGCGTAAACCCAGACGTGGCTGGACGGAGCTTGTTAATGAATAAAGAAGACACCTTTATCGCTATTCACACTTATTCCTAAGTGTTCCAAGGGTTTTAGGAGCTCTGTGCCAGCAAGGGCAACAAAGTCCAAATATATATTCTTATTATATAAATCACTATATCTCATTAACTAACATGAGAAAAAACGTCTATGCCTTTGTAGCACAAGCAAAGAAAAGCCAAGTCAAATATCCTGTGAGTTTCCGTATCAAAACTGCGGCTAAGAACTTTGGATGGTACCTAGCCCATGGCAAGGCTAGCCTTGTCATACGGTGACGGTGACAGTGGCCCAAGTGACCCGTAAACATTTGCGCAAACTTTCCAGGAGGCGATTTGGCAATATGCATGGAAGCCCTTAAAACTAAAAGATAGTCCTATCTTTTTGGCCTGGTAATTCCACTTAGGGGTTTACCCCAAGACAGCAATCAGAAATGCAATCAATGGTTTATACACAGGAATGTTCATCACCGCATCTTGCAAAAAACGGGAAGCAGCTTGAATGCCCACCATTGGAATTAAACTGTGACGCACCAAAGTGGTGAGACTGCAGACTTTAGAAAAGCCAGTCTAAAATCACATTAATAGAGTATGACTGCAGGAAGGAGACTAAGGGAACATTCTAAAATGTTAATGCATCTGTCTCTGGGTGGTGGCATTGTGAACAACTGTTCTCTTTTTGCATGAAAAACATTTCCAGAATTATGTGTTGCATTTATGTAAAAGTGAAATGCAGAAAACAAACACAAACGGACTTCATGATCAGCTAAGGTAAGGCAGGAGTCGGCTGGCGAGAACCTGAGAAAGGGGATTACGTGCAGAATCGAAAGGGATGTCTTATGAACAGATTCTTAGGTCTGGGGCTTGGCCAGGGTTGGGGTGTAGGAAGAAGATACTGAGAAATGCACATTAGTTGTCAGGAGTCGAGAAGGAAAGAAGGAATCACATAGTGTGTGTGTGTGTGTGTTTCTTTCCCAAAGGAACCTTTGATTTTACAGGTGAAGAAGTATAACGGAAGTTATTAAGGAAACAGTCCGTATTTAAGAAAATATTTTTTTTTAATTTTTTTTTCAACATTTATTTATTTTTGGGACAGAGAGAGAGCATGAACGGGGGAGGGGCAGAGAGAGAGGGAGACACAGAATCGGAAACAGGCTCCAGGCTCTGAGCCGTCAGCCCAGAGCCTGACGCGGGGCTCGAACTCACGGACCGCGAGATCGTGACCTGGCTGAAGTCGGACGCTTAACCGACTGCGCCACCCAGGCGCCCCTAAGAAAATATTTTAAGATCAGCACTGGCGGGCATGAGAAGCACTGTAGTCTAATGACATAGGCTCTGAATATGTTAGACCGTGTTCAATTCTGAGTCAAGAACACGGGTCTTTCTGACAATCTCAACTCGCGGTGTATGTTTTAAGCACTCAGGGTGTTTCTGTAACTCGGAATAGTAATAGTCGAGCCACTTCGAGTCAGTGACCTGCTTCTGTCTGGCTGCCCGTTTCTGATGAGCAACCCGCCCCGCGGGCCATAAACATCTATTTGCACAGACCTTGCAACACCCTGTCGCCAGGTTATCCCTGTGTGTTCCTTTTAATTATTTTTTTTTAATGTTTATTTATTTTTGAGAGAGAGAGCAAGCAGGGGAGGGGCAGAGAGGGAAGGAGGCACAGAATCCGAAGCAGGCTCCAGGCTCCGAGCTGTCAGCACTGAGCCCGACCCGGGGCTGGAACCCACGAACTGTGAGATCATGACCTGAGCCGAAGTGGGACACTTAACCCACCGAGCCACCCAGGCGTCCCCATCGCCATGTGTTTCTAACCGGGTGCGCTGGCAGTCCCCTCACCATCTTTGGGGGCCGCAGCCCCCCAGGATGATGGTGGCGGGAGCCGAGGGAAGGAGGGCAGAGCGGCACCCGAGGTCACTGGGGGGCTGGGGGGGGGGGCGGGTGTGCGGACATGGCCCGGCGGCGTGGCCCCGCTAGGACGCGAAAGGCCGGAGCCCACGCTGAGCCCAGACGCAGGCCAGCTGCGCTCCACGCAGGGTGGGTACTTACGAACAAGAAGAGGCAGAACGCACAGGCGCTCGTAAAGAGGACGGGCAGGGAGTCAGGTTTGGCGGAGTCTCCTTTCTCGCTGGCTTCCTAACGCCAGGCTCCGGAGACGGAGCCGAGGCCGGTGGCGAGGGGAAGGGCGGCCGGAGGCCGGCCCGGGCTTCCCACCCGCTCGCGCTTGCAGTTGTGCCCAAGTAAACAGCTCGCTGAAGGTCAGGGCACTGATGCCGCCGACTGGTGTCACATCAGCTGATTTCACTTTCATTTCCTCACTTGCCGGTGGCTCGTGACTTTTCAGAAAAAGGGAACGTAAACAACGTTGTTGTTGTTCACCAGGTCGCGTACTTTACCCACGCCCGAGCCGCCCGACCAGTTGACCCAAGGAGCCAGGTAAGGGTCCTGACGCTGTCACACGACAGCTCCGGAAAGGGAACTGCCCAGGACACTCTCAAAGCTCCCAGTGATTTAGACTCCGAGTAAACACGACCTCCAGTTTTACTCAGAAGGGGCCTTTAAGATCATCTGGTCTAAGATCCCGGACCGGGTCCCCCCCACCCCCACCCCCCACTGGGAAGCACTCAGGCCTTCTGTCCCCTCCTTTTCAGGAATCTGCGCTTCTCTGGCCACAAAACCTTGTGGGCTTAGCGTCCTCACCGGGGGGGTGTTTGGGCCGGTGCTGGAGCAGCGGGAACATCTCTTCCTTCAGAATAAGAGCAGAACCAAGCTTTTATTTTGTAACCACAGGGGCTCCCGGCCAGAGTTTAAAAATTGCTTCCTTTGCCCACATGACCAGCTGGGAACTCCAATTTGGAGCCAGGCTTGGTTAAGTCAGTAGAAGCTGCCCTAGTAATACTGCAGAACGCCTGGCCTGGCGGGTTTCTTCGGGTTCCTCTTCCCTCCCGGTCCTTCCCCCCCCCCCCCCCCCCCCCCCCCTACTCCCCAGGAGTTCTTTGAACTGCCACATGTTTTCCCCTTTGGAGTTCCTTTAAACTCAAACCCTAGAAAGATGAGGTCTGACGAGGCTTTGGGGTCAGGGCTCCCAGCTACAGAGGAGCAAATTATTTAACCAAGCTGAGCGTGAGTTTCTCACCCGGGAAATGGAAGCGTGGCTGTTGTGGGAACCCAGAGAGAGTGTGGAAGTGCTGGGCAGGTCATGATGGCAGCTGTTACTAGGGGAGGGGCAGAGGGAGAATCCCACGCAGGCTGACAGCCCCACCTCGGGCTCAGTCTCGAAAAGTGTGCCTTGATGACCTGAGCTGAAGTCAGAGTCGGCCGCTGGACCAACCGCCCAGGCGCCCCCGCAGCTGTTACTATTTAAAAGCAGAATTTCTAAATACTGAGAGTAACCTTCTTGGTAATGCCTTCAAGGCAGAGACAAAAGGAACTTTTCGGTACGAATATAAAGTAGTTACTCTGAAAATTAAACACCGGTGAGTAAGGGGATGTAGTGGAAGAGGGAGAGAAACATATATTTATGCATTCAGTACAGGTTCCAATGCACATAGTTGGGAGAGAGCCAAACAGAGCTTCAAAGTTCGTTGTGAAAAGCAGCGACCGCATTCTCCCTTCTTCTCCAGAGCCAAGCACTTTCACCTGGGTAAGCGGATTCTTCAGGTGTTTACCCCAGTTCTCAAAATAACCTGCTTGCCTCCGTGCTCTCTGGTGTCTCAGTTTCAGGCATCATCTCCTGACTCTCAGCTTTCTTCTCCCTGATTCCCTGTCCACAAGCATGAGTCTTATCTTCCTCCTCCTTCCAAACTGGTTATATTAAGATTTTGCTTAAATCAATATCCAGCGTCTGCACTCTTGTAACTATGTAAATACCACACACAGCAGTGGAGTCGTGTAGAAAATTGTGATTCCCTTCCCCCCGCCCCCCTTTCCGGGTCTGTTAGTCTTCTCTGGAGATAATTGTCTTAGTTCTGTGTTTGCTTGGATTTCTATGTACTTAATACAGATGCAACCCTCAAAACTTAAATCTTTTTTCAAGAAATGTGTATGAGTGGTGCTTGACCTCTTCCTGAGAAAAGCTCCCCCAGCGCCCTTGAACCCACTTCTGCTCCGGGCTGGGTCTTGACACCCGGCACCCAGCAGTCCTCCTGAAGGACCCTCCCCACCACCCCAGGGATTCCCTCCGCCCCTGTCCTGTGCTGGAGTTCTTATTGCGGGTATCAAAGGCTTTTATCCATTTAGTGTTTATCCTGCCCTTAAACTTGATCAATCAAAGGTCGATCGAGTACAGAATTTTAGGCGAAAAAAATTTGCCTGTATAATTTTGAAAGCTTTATTCCATTCCATCTGGCCTTCCTGTTATTTCTGAGAGTTTAAAACTGGTCTATTTTACAGCTTCCCAGATGTCTCCTTTCCTCTTCTCAGCCTTGCAGCTTTGTCTTCAGAAACAAAAGTGGTGGGAAAAACAAACAAACAAACAAACCAGAAATGACTTTTGTGGGTTTTTTGAGAAGGAACGAAATTAAATGTGCCCAGGGACCCCTTGGTGGCTCCGTGGGTAAAGCGTCAACTTCAGCTCGGGTCATGATCTCACTTGGTGGTTTCGAGCCCACCTTGGGCTCTGCGCTGTCAATGCAAAGCTCGCCTGGGATCCTCTGTCTTCCCCTCTCTCTCTGCCCTTACCGGGGGGGCGCCCCCCCCCCCTGGTCTCTCTCGCAAAAATAAACTTAAACAAATTAAACGTACCCAGTTTGCCATTCTTAACTGGAAACGTAATTTTTTTTACACCCTGGAGGCTCCTCCTAGCGGCCGTTTCGCGGGCTCCCCCTAGCGGCACAGCGCGTCTGGCCGAGCCTGTTGCTCCCGTCAAGCTCAGCCTCTTCTTCGCTTACCACCCCAACCTCCAGGCTGTGACTGCACCCTCGCCCGGGCGCGAACTTTCCCGCACTGCTCCCCACACACCAGCTGGCTTGGGGAGACCCTCAGAGCTCCCGGTTCTCAGGGCATGCCCCTCCTCCCGGGGCGAATTATCGGAGGCGGTGGCGGCTCCCTCTGGTGACCCCTCTGCTGGCGGGGCGATGCCCTGGGGCAGTCCCTCTGGTCTTTTCAGCTCGCTTCCCTCCCCGCCCCGTGAACACGCTCGGGCAAAGGTGACCAGGGCTCCGGCTTTCTTGGCCTGCTGGCTCTGGGGACGAGCCTGTGCCCTCTGGGCTGGACGGAGGGAGGGAGGCCCTGACTTCTCGGCGGGGCCCGCCGGGAACCGAGTCCCGGCAGCACGGAGGTAGGGACGTGAGCAACGCCAGCAGCCTGCCCCTCCCGGGGAGACACCGCAGCCCTTGGCTGGGAGCTGGGGGCCGGAGGGTGACTCCCGTGTCCTTGGCCACCTGCTCTGGGAGGGGGGAGCTTCCCTCTTGCTGAACTGCTGGGAAGGGAGCAGTAGCTATGGCTCAAGTCAGATTTTAGTAACTTTTCTTGAGTGAATGTTTCTCCATCTGTTGTGTGTCCTCACGACGGTTTCTCGAGACTTTACAGGAGGGTTTTGTTGTTGTTTTGAAGTTTTAGCAGTTATGGTATTCTCACGGGGCGGGGGGAGTAGATGGAGGGGCTTCTGGGGCTGATGTTCTAGAACTGGGTGTCTGCCCCTTGTTTTTTAAAGGGAAAAGTTTTGACTGAATAAAATCTAAGGACATTTAAGTATTGAAGAATACATGAACAAATCTGAAATGGCAACATTTCAGAAAATTACAAAGTAAGAAACAAATGGTTGTAACTCACAAGTCCCTTCGTCTGTGAATTTAGAACTTTAACTGGTAAAAATACTGATAGGTTTAACTGTGATGCCTGTTGTTTGGGTTTTTCAATTTGTTAAAACTGATAATACCAATAAAAGTTTATTGAGGTAACTATTAAGAAGCTACTTTTACAGATTTCTAATAGTATATCGAAATAGTCTTTTCTTTTTTACCAAATATCCTGCCTGGTTTTGTTAAAATGTCAGTGATGGTTTAAGTAATAGTAAAAAATGCAGTATTTATATCCTTTCATTGTAGGGGACACAATGAAATGGAACTAATGTATCATAATGAAATTAAACCCATCTATATTAATTCTGTTTAAAGATTATTTATTCATTTTGAGAGAGAGAGAGAGAGAGAGAGACTGCGAGCAGGGGAGGGGCAGAGAAAGAGGGAGAATCTGAAGCAGGCTCCACTCTGTCAGCACAGAGCCCATGCGGGGCTCGAACTCATGAATCTGCGAGATCATGACCTGAGCTGAAATCAAGAATTGGATGCTTAACCACCTGAGCCATGTAGGTGCCCCAAAACCCATCTATATTTAAAAATGCTTTGAGGAGTTATAATTCTATCAAACATCAATAAGAACAAACAAAAATCAAATAGCAACAGTGAAAGTGTTCAACAGAGGTAAATCTAAATTGCTTTTTTAATGTTTTTTCCCCAGTTTTACTACGATTGACAAATAAAAATTGCACATATTTAAAGTGTACAACATGATAATTTAGTATACATACACACTGATGATTACCACAATCAGGTTAATTAAGATATCCATCACTTCACTTATTTTTTTGTGGTGATAACACTTGAGATCTATTCTCTTAAGCAAATAGACAGATGAATGAAGAAAACATGATTATATGTATATATATGTGTATGTGTATATATATACACACATACGTGATTATGTGTGTATATATATAAATCACATTTGTATATATATATATATATACAAACATGATTATATGTATATATATGTGTATGTATATATATACATACATACACACACACACACACACACACACACACACACAGGGATCTCCCTTCCCTGTAGGCTTGCTTGAGCCTGTGTTTGGTCAGTGCAGACAATATATATTATATACCCTTATATATATATTGGGATATCACACAGCCATGAGAAAGAAATCCTGCTATTTGCAACAATGTGGATGAAACTGGAGAACATTATACTAAGTGAAATAAACCAGACACAGACAAGTACCGAATGATGTCACTCACATATGGACTCTAAAAAAAAATCAAACATACAATAATGTAGAATATAGTTGAGTTTATCAGAGGCTGGTTGAGGGGAAAAGGGGAGATATTTGATCAAAAGATACAGTCTTTTAATTTAGAAGATGAATCTGGAGACCTACTGTACAGCCTGATTAGAGTTAATAACTATGTATTGTGTACTTGAAATCTAAATTACTTTTGAGGAGACAAAAAACCCCAATGTCTTGCAGTGGGTGTGGCTGTTCAGGGGCAGCTGCATTGACCTCTGAATTACACCTGCATGTGAGTCTGGGTCCCTATGGAGTAACTGTCCTCTTTTCCTTGAAAGGGGAACTGTTATCATCTGGGTGATTATCTCTAAAGAGAGCAGGTAAACCTCATTCTCAGCACAGTTTCAGTGAGAGAGTTTATGGGCTCCTTTCTCATTTACAGCCTGTGTCGTTCATGGGTAATACTTTCAAGGTTTTTGTTTTTGTTTGTTTGTTTTGCCTTTGAGTCCCCACACTTTTTGTTCCTTATCTTCTTGGAAAGCAGGCTTAGGTTTTGTTATTGATGAGTGTTTTCATCCAAGCCATCCATTATTTCCCTCTGAAGTTGTTCTACATTTTCTTCTGGGATGCCTTTAGCATTAGTTAGTTGGGACTGGAAGGGTTTCAATCCCTCTTTGACTGATCATGTCAGTTCTTAAATTAAGATGAGCCATTATCACCCAGTAACATGACAGTTCGGGGTTTCTTTTTGATTGTTTTTTCAAAGGTGTCCTCAAGTGAAGAGGTCAACCCATTCACATTTCTCTGAAGTGTTGCCAAACACAGAGTTTGTGCCTTCAGAGGACTGGCCTTTATAAGAGGTGACCTGCGAGATCCATAGACTTGTATAAGCTCATTTTAGTCTTTTCACTGACATAACGATATTCTTTAACCAAGACAGAAGAGCATTTGGCTATCTCTTTATTCCTCCTTAAAGTATGTTGGCTTCTTATCAAAAAGTAAAAAATCATAGCAGCATATACTGAAGGGAAACCCAAAGAACTTTGTCTCGAGTAGCCAGATACTACAACCAGAGCCCTGCTCTAGGACCAGAATGGAAAGATATTTCTGTGGCAGTCCAAAGGCCCTGCATGACTCCAAAGGCACTGAAGCTTGGTTGCTGGCTATTAGTATCCGGTGGACCACAACTATCTGCTTGGAACCCTGTGGACTGTTGTATTTCTTTTTATTTTTTATTTTTTATTTTTTTGGAGAGTGTGAGTGGGGGAGAGGGGCAGATGGGAGAAAGAGAATCTTTAGCAGGCTCCACGCCCAGTGTGGAGTTCTACACGGGGCTTGGTCCCACGAGCCTGGGGTCATGACCTGAGCTGAAATCAAGAGTTGGACAGTCTACTGACGGAATCTCCTAGGTGCCCCTGGAGTGTTCTATTTCTAAAACAAACTAGGGGCGCCTGGTGGCGCAGTCGGTTAAGCGTCCGACTTCAGCCAGGTCACGATCTCGCGGTCCGTGAGTTCGAGCCCCGCGTCGGGCTCTGGGCTGATGGCTCAGAGCCTGGAGCCTGTTTCCGATTCTGTGTCTCCCCCTCTGTCTGCCCCTCCCCCGTTCATGCTCTGTCTCTCTCTGTCCCAAAAATAAATAAACGTTGAAAAAAAAAATTAAAAAAATAAATAAAACAAACTAGTGCCTGGCAACCTAGGCCAGACTACTGGTAGGGAGGGCAAGTGAGGCCCGGTTGAATAAAACACTACGCCCTAATAAAACAAAGTACACTCTTTGTTCACTGCTGCACACACAGAAAGCGTATTTCTATTGTGCTGATTGCAGCCAGAAGAGACTAGCTCATGAATTTTTGCCTCTCCTGACACTACGCAAAACCTAGAGGATTAAAGTAGCTTCGTGCCATAACCTACATTCTCTGCATGCAGGTGTGTCAGAGCACAATGGTGAGACATGCCCACATTCTGGGCTTAGCCTCCTTCTGAGTTAGTCTCCTTCTGCAGCCTTGAAGGCAGAT